GGAGACGGCGCGGGAAAAGTACCACGAGGGGAAGTGGTACGTGGCTTTGACGCTGAAGGTAGTGTTGCGGGTGCAGGATGCTTTGGAGCATTTTTGTCGGCCCAACGGTAGACCAGAGTAACCCAGGAAGAGACTTCCGAAGACGCCTTGGAATATCTTGGGTGTATTAACCGAGCACTTTTGGTGACAGACGCAGCTACACCATGTTTTGCACGAGTCTGGGCCGTAGCGAGAGACTGTTACGCCGATGTGAGAGATAGACGAGTCCCACGGACTGATGGTGTCCATCTGGAATGCCATGTTCGGCGGCAATGTGACCAGAGAAGTAGCCCGCGCACCGAAGGTCTCGTTAGCAGACATGTGGTCTTGTGCTGTCTTCTGGTGCTGAATGTTGTCTCTCAGCATGAATGGCTGATTGATTTCTCGAGTCTTGCGTTGTGCCCCTTGAGCCGTGTCAATCTGTCTCCTTTCCCTTGTCACGGTCGTTGCTCTCTCAGCTCGTGAAACGTCAAGAAGGGCCAGGTCGACTCGAACAAGTCCGGAAGCAGACGCAATGGCCTTTCTCAGCTGCTCCCGCAGCGGGCGAATTTGTTGTAGCAACGACGCAAGCTCACGCAACTTTTGCCGACGATGTGCTTTCGTCCCACGACCTAATAACGTCGTTGGGGTACCCATGGCACTGAGATATGCTCGTGCGGCATCATCGACCCGAGGCAGAATTTCTTCGAGATGGATGAGGATCCTCGAGATGGCAGGCAGCGGGCGATGGCATCGGCCATGTTCGACATCATTATTCCTGCCCACAATGTCTGGGAGAAGAACCTTCAGGTCGGTGACTTCATTCTTCAGCGCAAGGATCTCATCTGGACATTGGCCAACCGAGCGGCGAATTTGCTCAAGTCTCGTGTACACGGTGCTGAGGCTGGCATTGAACGAGTCAACCGATCCCTTTTCCTGGTATTCCTCGAAGATCATAGACATGGCAGTAAACCTCTGTCAGTGCGTTGATTCCATCGGGTTTAAGTAAGTGTCCAAGGCTTACCGACGCACAGGGTTGTCACAGTGTTGAATCAGCGCCTTCATATATCCGTGCCCTGGGTTATCGGGCGCATGCGGCAGCTGGTCATGGCCGCAGGGGGCAGGCTGTTCGGGCGTCGTTTGCCTGACCACAAGTCCAAGTTGTCATCGGATTGGCTGGTGTGAAGAGCATGCCGGGTAGGTGCATGAAAATAACAGCTAAAGTGAATCCCAGGATGCTTTGTATGTTACCGTTTTGCATCGACTGGAGATTCAGCCCAGTTGAATTTTACAGCCGAGGTGAAATTGGCAGTAAAATGAAGGCGCCCGACTCTCACACCTTCGCTAAGGTTGAAATCTGCTAATGTAAGTAGAAGAGGGTATGACACTTTACACGAGCGTCAGCTCTCGCAACTCGATATATGACGCCCTTCCTCCCCTCATCCCTCCTCCTCTTCCTCTCACCGGAATATGGTCGACGATTGCAGAAGCATGCCATGACCAGCCAAAATGAGCTTCGGATTCAGCCTAGGCGACCTTGTCACCGTGCCACAGTTCGCGTGGAACGTGTATCACACCTGTAAGAAATCACCCTCAGAGGCTCGCGTCATCGCATCCGAGCTATTCACCCTATGTGGCATCCTACAGACCTTGGGCGATGGTAGGGCGCATTACATGCGGACGCTGGCCGAGAACGAAAGAGTCCGACTACTCTCAGCCTACAATGTGTGTCGAGATGTGCTCGAGGAAGTCTCAGCCACTCTACGCAGGCATTCCGAGTTGAGCAAAGACAATCCTCATCTCTTTGCACGCTTAAAATGGGGTGCCGAAGACGTCCCTGCGTTGAGACTGCGCATCATCTCCAGCACCTCGCTGCTCACTGCGATCCAAAGCAGTAGACAGTCGTAAGGACACCCGGAACCCTCCATTTATCCATGAACTAACGTGGGCTTAGACTATCGGAGTCAAGAGTGGAGGACAAAGTCGACCAGATCCTCTCGCGACTAGATTCTTCACCATACGAGTGGTTCCGGTCGGCGTCAAGCCCTAATCGTAGCCTCGAGATTGGGCACAGACCTCAGAGGCTGCTCCCAGAGAACGAAAACGACAATCGTTTGATGCTTCCGCTAGAGCAATTGAACAGATCTTCACTCCTTCAGCTGCCCGCTTTAATCAGAGAAACTCACACACCCATCGATTCGGAGTCACGCAAAGGACTTCTCAAGCCATCTCGTCGACTACTTGGCTCATTCACAAGACCTTTCTCCCACTCGAAACCATCCACGTCGACCAAGTCGGACGATCTCCCTCGCGCGGCCGCCGCTTCCAACATCCCCAAAATCCAACACCTTCTCATGTCTGGCTACCCGGTTGACCATGTCGATAGTAGTCATGGCTACACTGCTCTGCACAATGCTGGCATGTCCGGCTGCGTTACCACCCTCGCCCTCCTCCTCTCGCATTCAGCCTCGGTCTCGATAGCAGACGTAAACGGCGCAACCGCCCTCCACCACGCCGCACAGAATGGACACGTGGACGCATCCCTCCTACTCATCCAGAAAGGGGCAGATATCGACGCTGCGGACAGCGCCGGACATGCACCGTTGTTCTATGCTTTGCAGAATGGACATCTCTCGGTCGCAAATGCCTTGCTCGGACTGGGTGCGAAGATGGCGCTGCTGGCGGATGGGGGACAGACATATGACTATTGGGCGAGTAGACTTGCTCCTTGCGCCGAAGAGATCCGTCGAGGTGATACGCAGGACGATTCCTGACTTCACGATAGGCAATCAAAAACGAAGAAGGTTTTCAGGATAAACGTGAAGGAGGTGAGGATATAGTGTCTTGTTGTCCTGTGTCTCTTTGTTCAGCTGGATCGTCTGGAACGGTTCAGCTACATAGGAAGCTTCGACTGTGGGGTGGTTTGCTTGGTATTTGTTTTGTGTGTCACCTCCCGTGGCCACTTACATCATTTCTTCTGTGTGGCGCGACCGAGACTCATACCCACCTCGACATCCATCATGATCAAGTGACGGCTCACACTGAGTAAGTCCTCGTCGAACTGGATGCGGCCCTCCTCGAATGCGACGATGATGCTCGATCCACCAAACTGGAACAAGCCGACCTCGTCGCCCTTCCTCACCTCGGAACCGACCTGCTGGCACTTGGGGTTGATTTCGACGGTGCCCACGTTAGTCGCGCCGATCGCCACGAACAGCACCTTGCCAAATTCCTTGGAGTTGATGCACACGGCACAACGCGCGTTCGTGGTCAAGACGTCGATGTCACTTCTGAGGCACAGCGGATCCACCTGGTAGTAGTCACCGGGGATCTGTTTGAACCATTCAATCGTGCCGTTGACAGGGGAGTGGTAGCGGTGGTAGTCTTGAGGCGAAAGCCGGAAGCTCGCGATGGCGCCGTTGTGCCATGGTTTGGCAACTTCGTCGTCGCGTATGAGGTTACCTACGGTGAAGTTCCTCCCCTTGATCCAGAGTTTCTTGGTCTGCGCCACAGTTGGGTAGACCACCAGACGACAGTCTGCGACCACCACGGCACGCGTGGGGTCGTTCTGCTCGAAGATGGGTCGTGCGCCAGGTCTGTGCTGTCGCACGAAAAATTCCTCAAAGGTGCGATACTTGTGGATGTCGGAAGGCGAAAAGTCGTCCATATTGATGTGATAGAAGTCCACGAAAGCCTTGATCTGACGAGCTGACGCTGGTGTGCCTTCCTCTTTTCCTGTTCCGCCATTTCATTGGTTAGCATCATTGAGATTTGCCGGGAGCATGTATAGAAGACAGGACGAGCGGCAATGCAAGGACTTCTCACCGGCTGTGATGGTCTTCTCGTGGATCCACAGCCGAAGCCACTGCGTACGATCCAGCCATTCAACTGGACGACTGAAGAGAACCCAAAGCTTTATTTTTTTCCATATCGGCTGTTGTTCGCGCTCAAGGCGGCCTGTTTTGCGATTCAGTGTTTTCCAGCCTATCTGGCGGTTTTGTACGAGTTTGACCGTCGAGAGAGCATGGTCCAGGATTCGGTGGATCCACTGCAAGATGAGGTCGAACATTGTTTGTCGTAGGTATGATGCTATGATTATGAAATTGTTCTAAATTTGAAGATTGGCCACAGTCTATATGATTTAGAGGGTTTGAGGAAATGAAAAAAAGAATTGTATCAAACTTGCACTGTCGGATTTCATCTCCGAACTTAACTTGTGCTGGAACTAGACTAACGTCATAGCTCTGACATCAGTCACCGCAGTTTGGAAGCGATGCTCAATAGACACTGGAGCATCCAGGGTAGTTGTGGCCCACGCATCTCGAGGCTGGTCTGAGATCGTTGGTGTGCTGGTGGTATCGTTACGCTCCGTGTGCACCACGGCTAGGATTCTGACCGTCTTCGTTGACAGTTGAGACAGCCAAACCAGGTTGTTGGAATCGCGGCTCTCCTTCCCCAAAAGCTGTCCGTGTATGATGGACCTTACAGGGGTGGGCGGCAATATTTCTTTGATCTGGCGGTGTCTAGTGAGCGCAGTAGGTGTGAGGCCATTGATACCGTCACAGAGGGGCATCTCTTCTGCGTCTCGCGCCCGATGAGGCTGGCGATCTGCAGGATGCTCTGATGAGTTCTTGCCGTACGATGGAGAATGGACTGAAGCACCAGCAGGTAGGTACCTGGGTAGCCTCCAACGTAACAGCCGTGTATTCAAAGGGATCGTAAAGGAAGATACGCCCAGAATCAACGGGCGCAGTTGGGCATCGAAGGTCTCAGTTTAGGTGATGTGGTAAAGCGGCACAGGCTATTTCTTTTCTGGTTAGTGTCATTTTACCCGTCGCACAGCCTTTCGCCTTACAAGCCGCCAAGGAAATCAATTGTCTGGTTCAACGGCGATCAACAATCATTCATTTTCAATAACTGAGGGGGTGCTCACAGCAATTCCAGCGGTCTTATCAATCTAATGTTCTTGATGCGGTATCACGATGAATGATAGTCCTGTCGACCCTCTGGCGGAATTGCCACCATATCTCCGCGACATACTGAATCAGCTACCAGAAGACCACTCTATTGCCCTCAGCGAAACTGCGGGACCCTTGATATCGGATATCAAGAAGCTGACGGATCGGAGGAAAAGATATGCGTACTTGCTTCTCTCCCGTCACCGTTTGACTCGCCTTCTGGCCGAATGTCCCAGTCCCTGTCCAGATCTCATCCTCCGCCGTGCTGAAGTTTACGAGGCCCTCGGGTACAGTGAACTAGCACTGGCGGATGCATATGTCTCGTACACCCTTTGTCTCGTGGCTTTAGATGACCCCGATATCTCAGACCTTGAACCTGTTGATTTGGAAGGAAATCCCTGGCCGCCTTCCGATGACGGCCAGAGCGAGGATGACCCGAACCCTGTGGCACTGAAGCAAAAGTACCGCTCACTTGTGCTGATGTGTCGCTCTGCCATTATCCTGGGTGTACAGACCCAAGCGAAGCTATGGATTGACGAGGTCTTGGCGGTGAAGAGGATCATCCGGCGCCTGAACGGAGAGGAGCCTCGAGAGCCGGTCCGGGACATTGAGGAGGTTGTGGGAGATTTTTCCGAGTATTCCACCATCTATGAGGACGAATCCAAATTCCACAAATGTGTCAAGCTCCTCCGACGCGATGTCAAGCCCACTCTGTTTGGGTGGTGTCAACGCCAAATATACCCTTGGAATGAGTATGAGCCCGACAGAATGTCCAAAGAAGCGTTGATCGAGATCAACGAGAAGCTCCACGTGGTCGCCCCGGATCTGGAAGTAGAAATATCCACGTTGCCAACTCTGACACCTTCGATGGATGAGGGTATGCAGAGACTTTCTGTTGGTGAGCTGAGAACCTCTGTGTCTTCTACAGCCAATTGCTCTTCGCAACTGGGGCTGTTTGCCAAAAAGCAGCTGGCGCCGGGAGCTACCATTTTGAGAGAGCGATCGGTCCTAACAGCCATACGCCCACATGGCGAAGCCGTCTGTGATGCTTGTGCGGCTGACATGGAAGATATCGACCGAGGGGATCGGAGATACTGTGTAGGATGCAATATACCATTCTGCTCGGAAGAATGTCAGAGAGCTGCCAATGAGCGTTACCACCACCCGAACGAGGAAGACTACGAGACCGATGAGGGCTATCCTCCCGCTGAAGCCCCTTTTTGCCCTGGATCTAGTGGCAATGACGACCTGCACACACTTGGTCGAGCTGAAAGTTCGACTACCCCTGAGTGGGATTTGTACTTCTTGCTCCTGTCACGAACCCTGCAACTGGCCGAGACCCAGAAATTGCATCCGTTAGATCTCTTCGAGACAAAGTATTTGTGGGGGGATTTCTCCCCGACCCCCGAAGTCATTGATCTCCCACTCAAGAGTGGTCCGAAATCACTACCATACAGCGTACGCCATCATGTTGAGTTGCCTCTCCAATGGTTTGAAGTTCTCATGCACTCACGAGAGAGATGCAGGCCATACAGTGCCACGTGGCTGAAAAAATACGACTGGTGGATCATTCAGACGCTCTTTTCCAAGTTTCGAGGAGTAGCAGATGCACAACAATCGACGTGGACGGGTAAGCCTGAGGTCGCAGCCGTTCATCCGCTCTGGTGTCTGGCGAATCATAGCTGCAACCCAAATGTGACTTGGAAGCCTCGGGAGTAAGAAATCTGACAGTCGTCCAGGAAAGGGTGTGGGAGAGGCCCGATTCGCCGTCGCCAACCACGTGGGAAGGGATTCATGCTGGCGAGGAGATTTGGAACCATTATACAGATGTGCAGGAAACCGACTATCGAGAGCGGCGAGCCCGCTTGCAAGCGGTCCTCGGAGGGGATTGCCGGTGTGAGAGATGCACATATGAAGCGAAACAACACTGAGCCCTGGCATGGCGACAGTGCATTGAACAAGTCCACGGAGCCGGTGACCAGCGAAGAGCAGGTCGACAGCAGCCAGGAACTTTCAGCATTCCGGAGACGGCCAATGTGCTTTTCGACACCACCAAATACTTCTCTGTATTTGCGATTGCGTATAATATTGGACAGAGGCATGTTAGCAACTGAAATGCCCCGCAATCTGCCAAGTATCAGTAGGTACGACCGGGTTCAAGAAGGCCTACTTGCGGCAGGTGATCCTGAACCGTGTTGGGCTGGTCACTGCTTGACAAACGGAGAAATCTGGATCGCTCGGGGTTTGTCAATTTGTTATCGTCTCGGTATCGCTACTGCTCTTATTGCGTTCCTTTTCTGCAGCCCGATCAGTCACATGTTGGCAAAAATCAGCTTTTGGGAAGCATTGATCAGGTATGGAGCAGCATTACGGCGACCATCCACAGCAGAAATATCATTATCGACCACGCATGCCGCTTGCGTCACGCATCAGGTCTTTTGCAACAGTTTTGAAGCCAGACAAGACAACACTTCCACGGCTTGGACAGTATTCAAAGGCTTTCTTCCTGGACCACTGGCTCGACGTTGTTTGTGTCCTTGCCATCGCGGGCATTACGGGAGCGGTAAGTATGCATTAAATATATGCCTGTCGGTTCAATGTCCAGCGCTGACCAGCAACCACAGATTTGGATCATTCCTACCCGTCCGCATCATCTATTTCCACTCCTTACCCCTGACGGTGCCACTTATAATCCCTTGATCGGCTATCCGTATGTGACGCCTATATTCTCCTCACTTCTCACAGGTCTTCTCTGCGGCCTCGTGCCTCTTGCAGTGATTTTCCTTTCTCAAACCTTCGCCCGGTCCTTCACAGACTTCTCCTCTGCTACTCTGGGCCTCCTATATTCACTGGTGACGGGGACATGTCTCCAAGTCATTCTGAAGAAATTCATTGGGGGACTCCGACCACATTTCCTAAGTGTCTGCATTCCGGTAGTGCCAGACAGGCTGATCGGATCTGGATACAACGGGATGATGTACCGTGCAGGAGATGTCTGCACAGGCAACCCCAAAGACATTGACAACGCGCTACAGTCATTTCCGTCAGGACACAGTGAAATTGCGTTTGCAGGGATGGGGTATCTCTCGATCTATCTTTTTGCCCATCTTCACATCGGCGACGCCTCTAAGCCTGAGAAAAGGGGGTTTTGGCGCATGATTTTGGTGCTCATGCCTATCCTGTTTGCGACTTACATCTCGAGCACGCTCGTCTTGGGATACCACCACTTTGCGCACGATTGCTTGTTCGGTGCGGCGATTGGCTGTTTGACCGCGGTATTGGGGTACAGGATTGCTTTTAGAGGGTTGCTCGATGCGAGGATGAACTGGAGACCCAGGTTAGGGAGAAGATTGAGGAGGGTAGTGGACGCGGAGTCAGACAAGGAACACCATGTGGGATTGGAGAGGGTGTCTTGGACTGATGGCACAGCGGTCGACGTCGAATCGAGAAGGTCGACTCGTCATGGGCGAGGCACGCGAGGCGAGAGCCACGCAGGGAATGAGCCAGAGATGGATGCTCGCAACTGACAACCGGCGAGAAGCTAGTCGCATCTTTATGTTGAGGGTTGAGTATCATGCGGATAGAGCGAGCGCCTTATGGTTTTGCTGGGAGGGTTAAGGGAACATTGAGATGGTCGGCACCGAAGAGACGGTATAACAACGAACCTTTTACACATTTTCACGTTTACACATTTGGGCGGCATTTCTATCGTCATCTCAGGCCAGGGACCATGTGGACATCAGAGCACATTCAAGGCGACACGAATCTCAGAGGACGTCTCTGCCGGAAAAGCACATCATCAGATTGAAATCCGTTACCATTCCTCTCCAGCATTGAGCTTCAAGCCATATTCGACCCGGTGTTGGGCTTCGTATCGCCCTCAGCGGCTTGAATGGTCGCCGCCGTGTCGAGAGAGAACCCGTGCTCCATCTTCGGTGTATTGGGAACACTGCTTTCGTCCGCTCCGTTCCCATTGTTGTTCTCGGCCTTGAACTCGTGTTTGGCGGCGGCTTCCTGCTTGATCTTGCTCTTTGTCTTCTGGAAGTCTTCCTCCTGTATATGTTCTCTGCCTTTTTCCCTCTCCCGCTCCATTTCCTCTTTCTGCTTGCGAACGGCTTCCCGCTCCCTCCTTCTGCGCCTTCGTTCTTCCCTATCGTCTTCTCCGCTGGCGCTGGTCAACGGACTCAGTAACGGAGTTCCAAGAGGCGTGCCGTCACCTCCACGTTCTCGAGTCCCATCTTTGTCTCTGCGTCCGTCTTTTGCCGGCTTCCTTCTGATGCTGGCTGTGCTACTCACCGAGCTTCCTCTCCTCATTCTCTCAGAAAAAGGCCGGTCAGCGGACACGTCAAACTCAAGATGTGGCGTGGAAGAGCGCGATGATTGTCTGCTTCGGCTGTGCGTGGATTCAGAGTCGAGGTTGGTGCTCCTTCTCTTGCTGGCTGTACCACTCAATCCTCGAGTGTGCGCACCACCCTCCCTTTCTGATAGGCTGGCACGGTGTGAGCCTGTCCCGGCGTGTTGCAAGTGGGGATGTTTCTCCAGATCATGATGCCGTCTCTGGCCATGATGTCTAGATGATTGTAGTCGCCAAGCACCTGTCCACCATTTCCAGCCTCCCGCCTCCTTTGCCTTTGCTCTCCTGAGAGTATTTAACTTTCTCCTTAGTCCTGCCCTCCGCTCGTTCTCTTTTTCCCAATACTCTGTGCGATAATCTTCCCAGTTCTCCCGAAACTCTGGGGAGAAGGACTTTGGGAGCAAGAGAAGCATGATGGCGTCGCCTCCCTTGGCGAGATCTTCCTCGATCACCAGGCCGTTTTCGTGTTCGACAAGATGCCAATCTGAGCCTCCTGCTTCGCGCCAAAGCCCAAAGGGTAGTAAGAAGGAGAGGTGGCCGAGCATCTCCCTCCAGAACTTTCCCCGAATCCTTACTACGCGGAGGTTGAAACCCCTCAAACCTCTGTTTGTTGTGCCTAGCCATTTTCGGGGCCAGCGGATGCCTCTTTCCCATTGTCCTGTGCCCCAAACAAGGAGAACCGTGACAATACCACCCATCAAGGCGAGTTTCTCCGACGTTTCCACGACCCAGTACACAGAGCCACCCAGGCCGGTGCCATCTTCTCGAGGACGCAGGAAGAGAGCATAGAAGAAAAGGCTGTTCCAAGCAGCCAGCAGCAGGAGGAAGAAAGTGTTCAACCGACGGCGGGAGACAAGGTGTAGATACTGTGCGCGCAGGGACGACTCGAGAATCAGGAGGTTCAAGTAGATCTGCGGAGGCGAGGAGGGCAAGGTGGCTAGAAGAGGATCGAGGGAAGACTGCTCGGAGGCCTGTTTTCCTAGAGAATGGAGTGGAGCAGAGGGCAGTGGTCGGATGTCTGTCGTGGGTGCACCTTTAACTATTTGATTGAGGCGGGATTCGGGCGAGGCCATCTTCGAGGATGTCGTGGCGGGACAAGCAAAGACGTTGTTCGGTGTAGATTAGTGTAGTTCCATGGAGAATGTGAGATGCTATTTGGGCTATTGTTCGTCTACCGCTATACCATCAAGCTCGCAAAGAGGGTGGTGCAATGCGCTTCGGGTGACTGGAGCGGAGTGACGAGGCTTTGATCGGGGAGTGCGGTTCGAGTCAGGATGCTCGCATGATGGTTCCTGCAGGAGATGACGAGCGCCAGGCACCAAGATTTCTTGAAACTTGAGGTAATAATCACAGGAGCAATTTTGGGGACTTTGCAACCTTGTCACACTCGGGCTGCACAAGAACGGACGAAGGTGTGTCAGTTGGAGAATGATCAAGTGTTAACTCCGGGCTGCATGTGGTGGGAGCATTTGACTGGGTGTTTAGTGGGTTGGCGGGCAGTTGACAGGGGGGGCATTGAGGGCAAAGCCGGCTGAATTGCAATCCGAGTGGCTGATCTGACCCTCTGGTGCCTCCTTGCCCTGCAGCTTCATCCGCGTCTATGATGTCGGCGTTGAGGGAAATCGGGAAAAAAGCGAAGAATTCTACTTCCTGTATCTCGGATCTATCGCTGCCTCTGGGGGCCCCCTTTACGCTCATTTCGCTTTTATTGTGCATTAATGCTTCTGCCTGGCCTACGCGACATCAGCGGCTAATGCTAGACTTCTATACATGTCCTTGAAATAGATTACCTTCTTCCCCTTACCTCACTTGGTGAATGTCCTGTATATGAGACGAACGCTTCCCTCAGCCCTTCCGCTCCTAGAGGCAGCTCCCCGATCTCCCATCATTTACGCTCGTCGGTTCCAGTCCTCAATCACATCCCCCCCTCTCACAACCGATCCTGAAGACCTCAATCTGCCTCCCACCTCCCACCATCCGCCCGTCATGTCTGCCTCCATCTCGGCGGCCGACTCAGACAGCGAAGTGCAATCTCGAACCCAGCAGAGTCCCCTCGCCTCCCAGCGAGCCAATGCTGAGAACCCACGACGATCTCGCATCGAGGGCCTTTTCCCTCTGTCGTACAAACAAGGATTCTCACAGTGGTGGTCCGCTCTCCCCGCTGCTCAAGCAGAACACCGAGTGCTCTCATTTGTTCCACATTTGCAGCAACCCCCCACACATGTAAAAACAGGCTCTGCGCCACCCTCACAGACCAACTCTACCGTCGCCATAGACAAGACCGCCTCGCCAGAAGCCACCACCTTCACAGACCCGATCTCAGATCCGCACGGCCCTCGAACGTGGCACTCTCGCCTCGTCCCTC